CCGCTAGAACCAGGCGGCTGGAGTTCCAGACCAGAAGGCTTTTCAGAGCCCAGCAACTACTTCTTATTTCTGATTGCAGCCTTTACTGACCTGGGGTCAGTTCTTGATGAGGACATCAGTCTAACCTGCCTGGTGCCAGCTTCCTCCAGCTCGAGACATCAATCATGAACTGGTAATCTGGCCCCCATGGTCTGGTACAGACAGGTCTTGGTCCATGCCTGCTCCAGCCTGGGGCACGCTGGTCACAACTCCATAGAATGAGTCATATGCTGCCGCCCGTCTTGGCCCTTTCTGTCCCCTGTGGCTTTAATGCAAATGTCACCCCGTGGGATTCTTTCCTTGTGGGACTTTATTTATTTATTTATTTTTAAATGCCATATTGGAAAGGACATTTGTCTTCTCTTCTGTTTAAATTGCTTTCCATGGGTTTGGGAGACCTGGCCATCGATTTTCTTTTAGCGTGTGTAGAAAGCGCCGTGAAGATTTTGGCTAATTAACTTTTGGAGAAGTGCTGCTTACATTTATCCCGGAGGTTGAAATCTTTTTTCCCCCTCCTCCCATATCTTCAAGAATGGCTTTTAACTTTTGTTTTCAAGTACTGCCAGCACCCAGTCTGTGTAAAGATGACATCTTCCCTGGAGACAGGTGATGGTCTAGAGGCTGTGGGATGTCACTTTGTGAGGCTCTAGTCCTTAGCGCAGTGGGTTAGAGGCACTTGCTGAGCAAGTCTAACGACCTGAGTTCAATCCCTGGATTGAACCATGTCAAGGTGGAAGGCGAGAACTCTGGTATTTAATATTTATAAGATGTTTCATTCACACGAAGTTTACACTTCTGAGAATCCACACTTCCCCCAGCACGCCTGTGAGTACTGACACTATATTCAGAGATCAACTCCCTTCTCACTGTGTCCCAGCCTTGTTTGGCTTTCTCCTCCATTCGCTATAAGGCACAGATGTTGAACTTCACTGTTCATTCTGAGTAAGCCCATTTTCTTGTTCTTCTTATGTGGACCCAAGCTGTTGGAAGCGAGGAGCATGGCAGGGAAATTTGCCTTGAAATCTTTCTGTGGATTTCTCTGGTACAGGCTTCCAGAGGTCTATCTGGAAGAAAGAAATCCTGTTCCAGGAGATGAAGTTTACCCTTCCCACTCCCCTTTTTTGGGCTCAATTTATAATTTTGTTTTCCCCTCCCTTAACCAGAATTTCTTAGGTTGAACTAGTTAACATCTTTTTTAGAAAAGGTCATGGGATGAGCCTGGATGGATGGTGGTGCCATCCCACCCGTCTCCTAGGCCCTGGGGAAGCTGAGGCAGGAACACGGGCTACGTAGTAAGATCCTGTCTGAAACAAACAGCAGACTATGGGAACCCTCTCCCTGTGGTACTCTGAGCAATTCCCATCAATGTGGCATGGGTGGTCTCTGCTGGAGACCCTGGGCATGCTGTATCATCTCGCATGGCTTAAACTGCCTGCAAATGGTTCCGTTCTTCTGAGACGCATCGCCTTAGCAGGGGGAACCATTCAAGCTGGTGCGACACAGGCAAATACTTTGTCGAAAGCGTTCTTCATTTTTGATCAATCTTGTGGTCCTTGTTAGTATCTTTGATTACATCAGATTATGTGCCGTTCCATTTTATAGCATTTTAATGGGCTTTCTGCTCCCCTCCCCAGTTCATTTCCTGCTGTGTGGTTATTAGGATTTGATGGTAGCTTGGTTTTGTTACTGCTGGGATACCTTCTGTGTGTGCTAACCCTCCCGTGTGAATGTGGGGAGTCTTCAGAGGTGAAGAGAGGGAGTGGGGGATGGGAGGGGGCGGGGGTGGGGTGCGGTGGGGATTTATTGTTTGTTTCTCAGAAGAGGCCTGTCAACAATTAAATTACAGATGAACCTTCCATGACTGTATTCTCCAACTGTAAGATGTTTGCTTTGGATCCTTTGGTAGGAGGATGGTGGGATCACTTGGGGGCTAAAGGTGCTTGCGGAGCAAGCCTTAGGACCTCAGTTCCGTCCTTGATGAAAGGAGAGAACTGTTTCTGCCAAGTTGTCCTCTGCCCTTCACACACGTGCCCTGCCCCCACACTCACACACTAGTGATGATGATAATAATAATAATCAGAATAAAGTTAAAAAATCTTTAGTAGAATCTACCCATTGACTTAAAAAAAGAACAGAAAAGGCTGCTTAAAACCTTGCTGTCTAGCAAGCAGTAGTGGAATGGGCTGGGATTAGAACCCTGTGCATTGCTGGTGGTCTTGTGAACTGGCTGAGCCTCTGTGAGAAACAGTATGGTAGTTCTTTTTTTTTTTTTTCTGATTTGATTTTTTTTGTTAAGATGATGTCTGGTTAAATTTATCATAGCTTATCCAAATGAAGTGAGAAAGAAAAAAGTTTGAGAAAACACCAACAAAAGCATAAAGAAAACTAATTCTTTCTTGTAGCAGCTGCTGCAGAGCACAAGCGAATCTTTCTCGCGTTCTGTAGGGATGCAGTTGAGTAAGAGCACCTTTGGTTTTTAAGCCTTTCTTCAGAACCATTCCACTTACCAATAACACAAGCTCCACGGTAGAAGAGTCTCAGTAGAAGAAGAAACAGAAATCCCTCTACACGGGAGGCTGTCTCTGTTCTGTAATTATGGAACGAGGAACCATAATTTATTTTTCAGCTTAGAAAGCTGATAAACTCAAAAGTGTCAATATTTTTAACCAAGGGCACAAAATTCCATAAAGTTTATATAATCCACTGCTTCAAGTGCTAAACATTTGCAAAACGAGGCCACCTAAGTCCCTTCCCAACAGAGTAAAATATAGTGGCATTGTCAAAAGGAAATTAATTCACAAAATAATAAAGCACTTTATATATTATGCTGGCTACAATTTTGCAAGCTGGGAACATGTTAGAGTCATCTGGAAAGAGTGAGTCAGTTGAGGAGCTGTCTCCATCAGGTTCGCCTGTAGGCAAGTCTGTAGGGCACTTTCTTTTCCTTTTTTTCCTTTTTTAAAAAAATTTCTTTTTTCTTTTCTCCTCCTCATCCTCCTCCTCTTCCTCTCTTCTTCTTCTTCTTCTTCTTCTTCTTCTTCTTCTTCCCCCTCCTCTTCCTCCTCCTTCTTTCTTTTTCTTCTCCTTCTTCTCCCCCAATTTGTTTTTTTTTTTTTTTTTTTTTTAGAAAACAAACTATCTTTTTTTTTTTTCATTTTACTTACCAATCCCAGTTCTCACTCCCTGGTAGTTCTTAAAAAGAAAAAAAAAAGAAACAAATAAAAGCAGAGTTTCCACATGGTCCATCAAATCCACTCTTGGGACTGAACTCTAAATAATTGAAAGGAGAGGCTTGATATTTATACCCCTATGTCCATGGGGTATTGCGACGTACTTTCTATAGAGAGTATAGTTATTACATTCACAGTGATTAGAGCATGAAAGCAATCCAGGTATCCACTGGCTGATGAACCAATAAGCAAAGTATGCAATATGATACAGTCAGAAACAGAAGGACATTCTGACATATATTATAGCCTGGATGGATCTAGAATACTGTAATATGCTAAGTGCAATATGTTGGCCTCAAAAGATCAAAATTATATGAAATACTTTGATTCACAGGCATCAAATTGACTCCTTAAATTGGGTCACAACCCTGCAAACCAGGGTGGCTTTATATTAGTGTCTTCAACTCTGGGCATTGAATTGCTTTGAGTTCAACTGTTATTATTATTAATTTTGTCCTAACTAAAAAACACATGTCTCTGTGTGTCTGTCTGTGTGTATAAATGCTACATACATGTGCCTGCATGGAGGTCAGAAAAAGACATTAAATCCCCTGGAGCTTGAGTTACACGTGGGTGTAAGCTGTCTGACCAGGGTGCTAGGAACCAATCCCAGGTCCCCTGGAAGAGCAGTGACTGCTCTTAGCAGTTGAACCTTCTCTCCAGCCTCACTATTTTTATTAAAATTAGTCCTTGAAAATTTTATATACATAATACATTCTGATGACTGCCCCCACCTCTCTTACAGCTCACCCACCTGCATCAACCACGCCTCTTCCAGACGAGTCCGTGTCTCACAATCTTGTCCTTTTGTTTTGTTTTGTGTCTTACTGTGTTTAGGGAGGGTTGTGTGACCAGGGGTTGGGACTCTGCCCTGGAGCCTAGTGGGCTCCCTTTGGTGGTTGCACAACAAGGGACAGTGACTTCCCCTTCTGGAGCATCCCTCAGCAATTCCCAAGGGGGTGGGGGAGTGTCAGACCTTGTTTTAAATACTTCTCTTGTTTGCTTTTGATCAGAGAAAGTTCTTTTTCTTTTTGTTTTGTTGTTGTCGTTGTTTTATCGAGACAGGGTTTCTCTGTGTAACAGTTCTGGCTGTCCTGGAACTCACTTTGTAGACCAGGCTGGCCTCGAACTCACAGAGATCCCCTTGCCTTTGCCTCCTGAGTGCTGGGATTAAAAGCATGCACCACCACACCCGGCCCAGAGAAAGTTCTTTTTCTTTCACGGTGGGTGCATATCCATGGTGTCCTTCCTCAAATGCTTCTTACAACCAATGGCTAAGCCTCCACAGGATGTCTCCTCTGCCCTTGTAGTCTTGGTGTATCCTAAATACTACTCTTCTGTCACAGTAGGAACCTGGGTGGGTTTTGGCAACTTCTGAGAGTCAAGTGTAGGGGTGCTCAAGGAGAGGGCTCTGGTTCTGGATGTTCTCTAAGTCCTATGCAGGACATTGTTACTGAACCACCTCCAAGGGGTGGCCATGTCTCAGCTGGTCACCTTACTGATGGTGTTTGTTCTTTGGGCCTATTTTAAAGTATTTTCTATGCTATTTGGTAGATTTGGGACAGGAAGTGGAATCTGGTAGAGATTTGATGACAAATGGGGCTCCTGGTGCCCACCAACTTAGTTGCTGTTAATGCGGCTTTTTCCTGGGAAGAGGGGAGGGGACCGCTTCCCTCTGGTTGTGTTTCTATGCCCCCTGGTCTCACTCCTTTTCTTTCTTGCCTCCCGTAGGCTTGGGGACCAGTTCTACAAGGAAGCCATCGAGCACTGCCGGAGCTACAACTCACGACTGTGTGCAGAGCGGAGCGTGCGCCTCCCCTTCCTGGACTCGCAGACTGGGGTGGCCCAGAACAATTGCTACATCTGGATGGAGAAGAGGCACCGAGGCCCAGGTGAGCCATGCCTCTGCTGGGACCAGCATGCACCAGGGCTCCAGTCTAGAGGAAAGAGTCTGAGAGTCCACACAGCTGGGTGGGTTGAGGGTCAGAAAGTCCTTCTCCAAGGGACCAGAGAAGGATGGTGTGATGTATTTATCTTAAAGAAATCCAATGAAAGCGGTCTTCATTTTTCACCCTTGGGTGTTGACTAAAAATCTGCGGATGTGCTTAGTTGTGGGAATAAGGCTTAGTTTTGTCATGAGAACTCTGTCCCTGAGGTTCGTCATCTGTGAAGTGTGGATAACCTCAGTATTTACTACTCAGGGTTTATCGGGATTAAATGACACTGTCTATGAACAACTCAATATGCAATGCTCTAAAATGCTCGATGTTATTGCCGTCACGACCAGGATTCTAATCTAGGCTTCTTAGAATCGAATAAACCCCACTGGTGTAGATTAGGGAGACAGCTAGCTCTAGAAATGCAGGTTTCTGTGGTCTTAGTTATTTTAAGATTTAATTGTATGCATATGTATATATGTGCACATAACTGTTCCTGTGTGTGTGTGCATGGGGTGTGTTGGCATGCAAGTATCTTCCTTAATTAGATGCTCTTCACCATCTTTTTTGAGGTAGGGTCTCTCACTTTTTACGCAGGGCTTGCTGATTCAGCTCGGCTGGCCACCCAGGGTGTGTGCATTTACATGGGTTCTGAGGATTGAACTCGGATCTGTGATTTTGTGGTAAGCACATGACTGGCTGAGCCTAGCCTCTATCTCCCCCCGGACCCCACCCCCATATTCCGTAGCTCTCACGTAGCCTAGGCTGATTTCAAGCTTGCTATGGAGCCAAGCCAGACTTGCTACGATCTTGACCCCCTCCTGGTCCTCTTGCCTCTGCCTCTCAGGTGCTGGGATTAAAGATATATACCACCACACCTGGCTCTGAATGAGTATATTAAGCAAAATTTTGTTTTGAAAGGTTTCATACTCGTGTAAAATTTGGATGACGGCAGAGGAAATTCTCATGGCCGAGCTTGACAACAGTCACCTATGGCCAATCATTTCGTTCTTACTTAGCTGCCACCTTTCTCCCCGATTCTGGGTGACTCTGAAGTAGATCTGGGACAACGCATCATTCCCTGTATAAATACTATGGACTTCAAATGTCAAGCCAGTTGGATGCAGTGGGACATGCTTGTAATCGCAGTGTTTAGGAAGCTGAGACAAGAGGATTGCAAGTTGAGGCCAGCCTGAGACACATGACAAGATTCTGCCTCAAAAGATAAAGGAGAAGACCACCCCTTCCCACAATTATGATCAAATCAGAGAGTCGGCGTTCATTCCTCCCGCTGCCTCTAGCGTGAGCCAAGCTCCAAGCAGGATTCCTATGCTGCAACTGGTGGATGTCCCTCTCAGAAGCCTGCAGCCTTTTCTCTGACACACACTCTCTCCCTTGTATGCTATTTGTTGAAGAAACTGGGTTGTTGGCACTGTAGGGTTTCCCTGAGCTCAGATTTGCTGATTGCATCCCCATGGTGTCATTCCTGTGAGTTGGTAATTAGGTCTAGAGACTTAGTCTCTCTCTCTCTCTCTCTCTCTCTCTCTCTCTCTCTCTCTCTCTCCTCCCTAGCAAGGGTAATTCCGAAGTGGTAGTTTGTGCCTTCATCAGGAGGCTCATACAATCAGGTTATCTTCCATTTATTCATGTTAGCGTCCTTCATGATAATCATCTAGATTCTTATTCCATTAAGAGTAGCAAAAAAAAAAAAAGTGGCCTTTGATTGGGGGCCATCGTTGTTTTTTTATTTATTAGCTCTTCAGCTTCTGTAAAGAAAAACATCCTCTCATTAAAGCTTTGGTTATGGTGAGGTACAGCTGACATGAGATAAATGGCATTTCCCCTGTATTTACCAGGTTTCAGAATAATGAGTTGGTTCCTTGGTATTGTCCAAAGCTGATCAATACAGTTATTTTAAGTGCTATCATGAACTCGGACTTAAACACATTTGATACACTTTAATCCATTGCGGTTGTTATTCTGATTGATGGTTACATGGTCCCACCTTCAGCCAGCAGGGCTTTGGAAACAGCCTCAGTCTCTTCTGATGGTTTCCCTGCCATCCCAGTATCAGGACAAATCGATGCAGGCTCACCTCATGCACTTCCTGCCTTGGACCAGATAGAGCTGCTTCTCCTAGGAGCCCCGGGTTCTTGTTTTCGTAGGAGATTTTTAGAAGCAAACATCTATGCGATTCACAGCTTCTAGGTTTATCATTATTTCTCAGGCTTTTCAGTCAGCACAACTATAAAGTATGATATTTTTTAAGTGAAATATGCTGTGGAATTCTACTATCCTAGATAATTCAGTTTTGAATAGTTTGTACTGAACTATTTTTATTCTATTTCCCCTTTTTTCAGACATCCAACACACACACACACACACACACACACACACACACACACGCACACACTCCCTGTGAGTGCATTCATGGATATACATATTACACACATGTCCATATACATGCAAAAATGCATGCATGCATACAACACATATACACATATACCCTCAAACGTGGATTTAATGATACTGATACTCTTGCTTTATCCCATACAGTGCTCATAACAGACACAGCATCATAGTAACAACAAGACTATTCACAGTAAGATTACTGGACAGGGTTTAAGATTTTTTTTTTCTTCCTTTTGCTTTTTGTAGGTCTTGTTCCCCTTAGGCTGTGGTGTCAAAGCACTCCGCCTTAAAGTCACTTCAAATAGTTTTCTGTGTTGGTTGTGACAGTAAGTCTCCTATACGGTTGGATTTGTAGGTTTTGTTTTGTTTTTTTTTTTTTTTTTTACTTCTTAGGGGTTGCTCTGTGCAGAGGTTCCATAGAATTCTTTTCTGAAAATTAGCTTCTCATTTTGAGTCACTGTATAGCTCCTGGAAACCGCAAACACAGTACAGAGAATGCCTTTCTGATTCTCATTCCCTTTCTCTAAGAGTGGACCGGAATATCACACCCCAAGTTGATATTGGCAAAATGCATGTAAATAGCTCTTGCCATTTTTTTAAAATTTAAATCAGTTTTAAAATTCAAATACATTTTGATCATATTCTTCCATTCCCCCAAGTCCTTCCAGATCCTTTCCCCTTCCCTACCCACCCAACTTTAAATTCTTTCTCAGAAAACAGGCAAAATCCCAATACAGCAACAAATTCCCCAAACCAAAAAAAACAAAATAAAACACTACCCAAAAGGAAATTAAAAAAAAAAACAAAACTAGATCGTAACCAAATAAAAATACACACATACAAACTGTGGAGTTTATTATCTGTTGGTCAGCTGCTCTTGAATGTGAGGCCTTCCCTGGGGTGGCTGATCTGCCCAGGGCCGCTCCGCTGGAGAAAACTGGTTTTCCCTCTCCCAGCAGGTATAAATGACAATTTAGGTTTTAACCTTTCCAGTGTCTAAGTTTTTATTTATTCATTCACTTTCAAAAGATATAACAAAATAGTATATAATAAAACAAAAACTGTCACATTGAAGTTGGACAAGACAAAACAACAAAAGGAAAAGAATTCAAAGGAAGGCACAAGCATCAGAGTCCCACGAGTTCACACCCTCAGGAATCCCATAAAATCACTAAACCGGAGTCCTAAGCGCAGAGGCCTGGGTGCAGACCTGTGCAGGCCCTCTGCTGCTCCAGTCTCCATGAGTTCCTGTGGGCTTAGCTCATTACTGATTTAGAGGGCCTTGTTTTCCTGGTGCCCTCCATCTCCTCTGGCTCCTACACTGCCTCCTCTCCCACAGGGTTCCCTGGAGACCTTGCCTTTTTATCACAGGTAACCAACACCACAGTCAAGAGCTGAAACCATTTCCTCACCACAGAGATCTTTTTCACATAACCCCTTTATAACTGCACCTAATCTCTCTCATCAAATCCTCTCACCGTCTCCAGTTATAAAATAGCTCAGTTAGTTAGACAGTGGTACTAATAAATAGCTATCTTAAACATTTCCTGTCTACTGAAGACCACATCAGACCATCAAGTCCAACCTAGAGTTCTTGAAAAATTTTTGATTACATTTACTTAAGGATCTGTGATAACTCTTAGGTTTCCTTTGTCAGAGAACATGTTGATTTTTTCTTCATTCCCAAAGAACACTTTTTATGGATATAAAGCTACAAATTGATAGTCCTTTTTGAATAGCGTTTGGACAATCTGTAACTTCTTCAGATGGTTTGTGACGAGGAAACTGCTGTCAGTCACATGGATTTCCCCTGCTATGAGAAGGTCCATCTTCTGGTCTGTCTTCTACCACTGTCAAGCCTTTGCTTTTAGTTTTCAAAAGTTTAATTTTGATGTGTCTTGGGATGGATTGGTTCAGCTTTATTTTATTTGAAGCTTACTTGGCTTCCTGAACTTACAGTTTTTTTCACTCCAATTTTGAGAAAATTGCTGGCCGTTATTTCCAGCACCATTTTCTTTCCTTTTGAGATTATAACAACACACATCTTTTGCTCCCTAGGCTCTATCTTTTTTTGTTTAAAAATTTAAACCTTTATTACATATGAGTGTTCTATCCATATGTGTGCAGTGCCTGCAGATGCCAGAAGAGGGCGTTGGATCCCCTGGGATTGGCATTACAACAGTTGTGAGCTGCCATGTGGGTGCTGGGTATCAAATCCGGGTCCTCTAGAAGAGTAAAGAGTGCTCTTAACTGCTGAGCCATCTCTCCAGCCCCCTAGGCTCTATTTATTTTGTTTTTCAGTTCCTTAATTAGATATTTTCTACAATTTTATCTTTCATTTACTGCTTCTTAGAATTTTCTCCTGATGAGCTTCACCCATGGAGAATTTTTTGGTTTTTTGATTACAATTTTTCTTCTCAATTTACTATTTGGTTCCTTGTATTTTTGTGTATTTTTTCTCTTGTTGAAAATAGATTTTTTAAAAATAGAATATATTTTGATTTTGTTTTCCCCTCGCCCAACTCCTCTGAGATCCTTCCCTA